GCCCTGGGGGTCCCCGGGGGCCCTCCCTCGGGCTCCTCCCCGCAGGGCAGTGAGGCCCCGCCGGCCCGACCGGTGTGAACACGCCGGACGTGCGTGCGGCTGCGTGTGACGAGCGTGTGCTCGTCTCCCCGGGGTGGCAGCTCTTCTCCCCTTCCTGTTGGGCTGTGACCTGGGGGAGATTGATGGCCAGGCTGCGCCGTGGATGCTAACAGTTCCCCTGATTTATGGAGTTACTTACGCTAAGTGAGGCCACTTAGACGCGTCTGGATAGTAAACCTTTTAACTGGACTCAAAAACCATAATAAATAAATAAACAAAGGGGAGCAAGGAGGGCCCGGCCACCAGGTCCCCCGATTCCCGGCTGGGGGTGTTAGGGGCCCCGGGGGCCGGCTGAGAGCCCAGGGGGGCAGCGGCCATTGCCGCCCACAAACCCCAGCAGCCCTTCTGTTCCGAACCGAGGGGGAAGGACACCCCTCTCTTAGGGTGGGGTCACACTGCAGGAGCTGGGGGGGTGGGAGGGGCCGTGGAGACAGAGGTGAGCTATGTGGGGGAGGAGAGGCTGCTGGGGTGGGGGGTCGTGGGGGGAGCAGGGCCCCCCCCCGCGTGCCGACGTGCCCTCCGGACACCTGTACCGTTCCCGCGGGGACCCCCAGGGGATGGCGGCTGTGTGTCTTGCCCACATGTTTCCCCAGGACGCAGCCGGGGCTGCCTGTAGCATCCTGGGACGAGTCAGGTTCAAGTTCGCAGGGCTGCAGGGTGGAGGCCCAGTGACCCTGACCGTGGCTGTTGGAGCCCGGTGGGAATCCAGTTCCAGTGACCATGGCAGTCACTGCCCTCGCTAGGCTCTGTGTCCACTCTGGACATGGACAGGACACGTCCTGGGGGCCCGGGGAGCATGAGACCCACGCTGGCACCCACGGAGGCGCTCAGGAGTGCCAGCCACCGGGTCCCCATGGGCGCCACGGGCCAGGACAGCCGCCACCATGGCCCGGCGGTGCCCACGGCCCCTGAGTGTCCGGCCGTAGGCCAGTGGGCCCCAGACCGCCCTACTACCCCAGGGGACCGGCGCCGGCCCCTGCCTGGCCGCCCGCTGATATACCGTGGGCGTTAGGCCGCCCGAAGGGGACACTGCATCCTTAGGAAGAAATATGTCCTCATTTTTCTTAAACACCGTTTCCACTGAGTGAAATGTTTAGAAGGGACGCGCAGGGAGAACTTTATTTCCTACCAGGGACTTCAGAGCCACCAGGCAGAGCTCATAAAGCACCCGGAGCCTGCGAGCTGACAGGCCGCCCGGCCCGAAACACATTACTCACGGCTGGGGAGGGGCTGCCGGGCATGCCCAGCCCCGGGGGATCGGCTCCCCCACCCCGCTGCCCAGGCCAGGCAAGCACGCAGACCCGGGCCCCGGGCACTGGGCCCCGGCCCCCAGG